GCAGCACAGACAATCACAGCACAAGCAATTTCCAAGCAGTTAAAGCTTGTAAAAAGAAAGAAAAAACAAACAAAAATCATTCTAAGGATGACCCGTTGTAAAGCTTCCTGAGCCTAAACGTTTCATAATCTGTCGATACTATGGCCTTCTACTCAAAAAAGTCGAAAGAATTAGTAGGGACAATAATAATAATACAGAACTATAAGAACCTATACATAATGCGGCCCTAGCTCCATTATCCTCAACGTATTTTGTTACGGACAGCAATTTTCCATAGGTAACCATCAGATCAAGCGCTACACCATTTGTCCAGCCAAATCCATCCTGAAATATTCTGCGTGTGAAACATGTAATTTTAAGGATTTAGACCGTAAAAAAACGCCAGAATTACTGGGATTTTCAAGTGTAAATTTTCTGGTATTACTGAAATCTAACTCTTTTCTCAAAGCAAATTTAGTTTGTTAAAATTTAGCCATATTTTTAAGTGTAAAGCTCTTGATACTAAATAATAAGAATCGATTTCAGCCTGTGCTAATGAACTTTTAGCTATGGTGGCGCTGAATTTTTGGTTTGAGAAACATTTTTATTTGGGTTGTTACCAGGATAAAATTGTTGCTTTGGGGAATAACTGCTATCTTGAAATCGTGCTAGAAAGTGATATTACGCGTCTTTTGGTTCCACCTGAATAGAAATAGTTCTCTTTTAGAGCCATCGAAAGCCTTGCCAGTGAGTGATTGCTGTTTGTATTTGCTACTATTTAAGCTACTTCCCGAATACTTCCACTTTTCGTAGAGGGGGAATACGGAGAGAATTTTGACTTTTTTGAATTCTCTTTAATTCAGTATTTTATAACTGGTTAAGTGCCCACTGGACTTTTTTCCTGGATTTTTAAATAGATTGAGCAGCTTGAAAAAGAAAAAACAAGAAGCCAAACCTGTATTTCATATTCGCCGCCTTCTGCTTTTTTCTCGTATGGCTTTGTAACATCGTATTTCTCCCACATTTTACCATCTTTCATATAAGCGTGATAGTTCAGATCAATCCATTTCTGTGCTATATCGAACGCTTTTTGTTGCATTCTTAAAAACCATCCATGAATTCGAATTTTTTATACATGATGGCAAAAATTTTTTTTATTCGAAAGATTTAAAAAAAATAATTATTTTTTCCGTCAAAATATTCCGCCTGCGGAACTCGGGGAATTCCTGCGGTAAGCTAGCATTAATTAAGGAAGCCACTAGGACGAACTGAATTTTCGACACTAATATTTTTTATAACATATTTTTATATTTGGGTGCTATGGATTTTAACTAATCGCACTTGCTAATTACCGAAAATTTGAAATTTTTTTTTCAGGATCAGTAATTTGCCTTCATTTTGGTCCCCTGAGATGATGATTACCTGTAATGATAGGATCTTCGTAATCCATCAATAATCATATGATTAATATTCGCCCAACCATTTGGATAATCCCACTGTTGATTCGTACCTTGGATCAAGCTGAAATTTCAGGATTTTTATGATTCTTCCTTATAAATTCAAGTAATCAAGAACAGAAAGAGAAGTGAGAGTTCATTTTTGCGTCTTTCTAGAATTTTTTAGAAACAAAATTTCAAAACCAAAGGATTAGAAGGCACTACCAAATCTGTAATTGCACTGACCTGACAGGTACTCCGCCCGGGAACTGTAGCAGTCCGTTGCGTTGTAACGTGTTCAGTACATTGGTCATCATTCGTCTGTCCAGTCGTCGGTAACATTCCGCGAAAAGTGGTACCGCAATGGATGGATAGGCTTCGTAGTTTCGCTGCCCGGTACGAAGATTCACATCAAACCATGCACCTTCTTTTTTGTCATAAAAAATATCGGTAAAAGTATCCACAAAGTCAAATCGTTCCCGGTACAACTGATCTCTGCGCGTTACATTTCCTGAAAATCATTTTTTCTTTTGAACTGTTTGTACTTTTTTAGAAAAATTCTTTCAGTATTGAATTCAGTTGGGTTTTTTGAAGGCTTTGCCAACGGGTATGTAGAACTGGTAGAGGGAATTGAAACAACAGAGGAATTTTTTTAGTGATAGTGAGGTATTTTCACTTCGCTCAAGAACAAAAGTGAGATACTTTCAGTTCGCGCATGGGGTCTGAGGTGGAGGAAATTGCGAGAGAGTTTAAGTATGAAGAGACGGAA